ACATCAAACTGTAGGAAGTCATAGGAATCTCCTTCTGACGTGTGGGCAAATTCCAATATATTGCACATTTGGATGTTACGATGGCATAGTATAGAAATGATAATTTCCCTATTCATGAGCCATAAATGCTTCAAAAAAATCTAAAGCACCTTTTCGGTTATAATTATCCGTATATATTCAAATGTCACACAGAGTCAGCTTTGAGTTAAGCAAGAATCGGGGAAACATCAAAGAAAGTATTAGGGGAAAACCTAAGATTTATTGGAGGGGGATGAATCACAGCAGGTATCTGTGAAAACTAAATCGATTTTGAAACTCATCCTTTTCTTCCTACCCAAACTACCTCCCATTTCCTGTTCATTTTTTTCTTGCCCAAATCTCATGATTGCAAAAAAAAAATCCTAGTGTCCTTCCATTAACCCTAAACAACGTGTTTGCAATGGAAACACAGCAACATTTCCCCCTCCATCTCAAGGCTCAGGATAGAAATGAAAAGGAAGAAAAGTCACTAAACCAAGAGCCTGAATAAATGAGAGTCCTTCCAAGGACAGAATGGGAAGCATGTCAGTCCAAAAAGCTGAAATCGGTGTGATTGTGATGGAATGGAATTATGAAGGCCAGGCTCAGGGAGATAAACATTTGCTTAGCTGGCCAGAGGGACGTGCGAGCTACAAGAGGATGAGACTGGCACCTCCTAGAGGAATTCACACTGTTGTGGCTGGTTGACTTGGGAGCTGGGGTTTGAGTGTGGGAAGACTGTTGTCAGGCCTAGCCCAAGGAACTCCAAGAGACAATGCAAGTTCAGTTCAGCTATGTTTATTACTTACAACCTCCAGCAAGAATCTTCCCAGACTGAAACCCCAGCTCCCAAGTCAGCCAGCCACAATAGTGTGAATTCCTCAAGGAGGTGCCAGTCTCATCCTCTTGTATCTCCCACACTCCTCTGGCGAGCTAAGCAAATGTTTATCTCCCTGAGCCTGGCCTTTATAATTCCATTCCATCACAGTGATGGAGGTTAACTTCTCCTCAAGCCAAGGAGCTTGTTTCTCACTGATCTGTTCAAAATGAAATGGAAAAATTCACCAGCTGGGAAATGGCACAGGATGCATCTAAGCAGAGGGCCATTGACCTATTTCCTTCCTTGGAGCAGAAGGACACCATATCTTTTTGATCTCACTCCAAAGAAATGACATCGAGTTGGAGACTTTTTAGTAAGCAATAGCTGGTGGCATTTAAGCACAAAATGTCTTGCTGAACTCTCTGATTGGAGGGTAGGAAACCCTTACCCAGAGAGGCCACGTTCCTATAGTTTTCCAGCATGACTTCCCAATGCAGCGCTTTTTGGTGAGGATCCAGCTGAGACCACTCCTCCCCGGAGAAACAT